AAAAAAAAAAAAAAAAAAAAAAAAGGAGTACCGGCCGGGCACAGGGACTCACGCCTATAATCCCAGCACTTTGGGAGGCTGAGGTGAGAGGACTGCCTGAGCCCACAGATTCGAGATCAGCGTGGTCAACTTGGTGAGACCTCATCTCTACAATAAATAAAAAAATTAGCTGAGCACAGTGGTGCATGCCTGTAGTTCCAGCTACTTGGAAGGCTAATGCGGAAGGACCACCTGAGCCTAGCAGGTGGTGGCCATGAGTGTGTCACTGCACTCCAGTCTGGGGGAGGGAGAGAGGAAGGGAGGGAGGAAGGGTTACTATTAACTGAGATAGGAAAGATCAAAGATGGAGCAAATTTGGGGGATGAAGGATGGGGACAAAACTTTTTACTCGGTCATATTAACTGTGTGGCACGTATTACAACCAAGTAGAGATTTAGACAGGTAGCTGGACATTCCAGCCTGGGGTTCAGGAAATGGAGAAGTAAATTTAAGTGGAGCTTTGAGGGGTATTTCGTCATTTCAAAGTTAAAAAAAAAAAAGAGCAGCCAGCAAAGGAAATTGTTCAGGATCAATCGGGAAACAGAAAACCAAGAGTATGGGGTCTACTAAGTTAAGCAAAAAAAAAAAAAAAAAAAAAATGTTTTCTTGGAAAGACAAAGCACTCCACTGTTATCAAATGCTGATTAGCAGGTCAAGTGGTGGATCTGCTAACACGTGACAGTTCTTGGTTACCATGACAACAGCTTTTAGTAGCACAAGTTAAAGAACCAAGGAAAGGTGAAGAAGCAAAGTGTAACAACAGATACATTTTTCTTGGCATTTTGTTGTACAGGAGAGCGGAGTACTAAAACAACAGCTGGATGGGAACACTGGTTCACAGAAAGTGCTCTTAAGAATAGCAGGAGCACATTTTATGTTTGCAGGCTACATTGTTTGTATGAATGACTCCGGAGAGATGGGAAAAAGGGGAGATTCAAGAAAGGGCAGATTATTGCCAAAGCAACATTCTTAAGTTGTGAGGAGGGGAGGAATCCAGAGGACATGTGGAAGGATTGGCCTCAGATAAGGGCAAGGATAATTTTTCTTTTCTAAAAGAACAGAAAGAAGAGTAGGAGGATACATCATGTAACCTGGTGGTTTTGCTGGTGAGAAAATGAAGTGGTTCTCTTTTGATTCTTTTACTTTCTCCGTGAAGTAAGGCTTCAATTGACAGTAAGGTAGGAAGAGAGTGCTAGAAAATTATGAAGAGAGAAAATATGAAATAGTCATTTTAAAGATTAGCAAAGTGGTTTGATTAGGGAACTGGAGTAAGACTGCAGGACAGCCCATTTAATAGCTGTGGTTAGAAATGTTAAGAACAGCCCACACTGCTCACTCGCTTCCAGCCCATCACAGAGGAAACAGCTCTCCTGTGCCCAGCTACTCGCCTTCTTTTCCCAGTCAAATACCACCAAATCCTGTGTTCAGTCCTCCTGAGTCGCGATTTCTAGGACTCATACATCTCGGTCACCTCTCTCTGGTCCTACTAGCAAATCTGACAAGATCTCTCTTGAAACCATGTGCCACAGACAGGACACCCCTTTGTAGACGTGACGAGCACATGAGACGCAGACCACCCTTAACCGTCTCAGACACTGTGGCCTACGTACATTACATATATTAACTAACTGGCAGATGTAGACAACATTAAGCTCTAATCAAAGGATTTGCCATTTCCTGCCCTTGCACTGAAACACAAGATACCTGCCTCAAATACCCAACATCAAGTCCAAATCATGCCTGCTCCCAGCAGCCTCTTTCTTTCTGGAGGGTTTATCATATGCACCTCGCATGTGGCACTGCTTTGAGCTATCTGCTGTTGTTTTACTTTTGCATATGTCTGCTTCCCCCAGTTGGAATGTCAGCACTTTTAGAATAAAGATGAGTATTCTTCCTAGAATCCTCTAAAATGTCATTAATCTAAATAGATACATAGTATTTATTAGCTAATGTCCCAGTATTTTTCCCTAGGGCGTCAGAAACTCTTCTTAAAAAATACAGACCTTCATTCCTAAAATTCCTACTAAAACTCCCACTCTATATTTGAAATTTTTTCATACATACTTGGTGGATCAGTATTTTCATCTCTGGGAATGTCTGAAGTTGACAATAGCTATAAAGAAGAGAAAAGTTATCAGATAAAATTAAAAATCTCAAACAATATGAACACAGCAACACGAAGGAAAGTTTACCTTAAGCAAATACATATACTTTTTTGAAAACTGAGCAATTTACAACTTTCGCTTTGCTTTGTTTTACCCTAATCATATAGATTTCCTTGACTTCACCTTATTCTAAATTAGAATTCAAGTATTTTTCCACTTTAAAGAAAGTAGAAAAATGTATTAATGGTTTCTCATTCTATTTGGAAAGTAAGAAAGTTATTTTTTGTTTGTTTTTCTGGAAAAGAGCAAAGCGACAATAAAGAGCCTTCTCCAATCACATGACATATTTTGTACAGTGGCAGGATGAATTATTTTTCAAAATACTTAAAGCAAAGAACAATCTTTTCTAAAAAGTCTTAAACAAGTTGGTTACAAAAGCAAAAATCAGAGGTGTCATTCATATGCATATAAAACATGTTATATTGATAAAACAGACACAAATATCACTTCTAATATTTTTGTAATTAGTATAACGCAGGACTGATTCAATGTCACCAATTTATTATTTTAATGTATTTACCTGTTCAAGAAGATGAGGATATCTACCTTGAATCTCGTCAACAAACTCCTGCCCTTTCATCCGTATCAAAAACTCACACCTAAAACGAAGAAAAATTATTTTTAAAAATTCTTTCATAGCAAAAGTATAACCCAATCATTCTAGAAAAATGACTTTCAAATGTTTTTCATGACACCCCATAGTAAAAGAATTTTTCATCACAACCTAACACATACATATCCAACAGGAACAAAATCATAAAACAATATACAGTTATCACTATGTGTTGATGCATTCATATCTAACATATGTATCTAACAGGAGCAAAATTACCATAGAACAATATACAATCTTAGTCATTCCACAATACCAAGAAAAAGAAAAGGGTCTGGACTGAGGAAGGAGCACAAGCTGACACCTGAAAAATGCTGTTATACACAATTTGTTTTGTGCTTGAAGTGAACTACTTAATACAGCTTCAGAAAGTATAACTCAGTATTCCTAAAATGGGATAATTTACAATCTAATAACTGCTGATTTTTCTCCAATGTTCACTCTTCCATTACACTTGAAGCACAATCCACTACCCTTCTTCCAAAAAATACAGAATCAACTTATCTCTCTTTATGCGTAACATGACACAGTTTCTCAAATATTTGTTTTTAAAACCAATAGGGTTTTTCTTTTTCTTTTTTTGAGTAGGAGCCTCACTCTGTCACCTAAGCTGAAGGGCAGTGGCATGCTCACAGCCACCGCAGACTTGACCTGCTTGGCTCAGGAGGTCCTTCCGCCTCAGCCTTCCAAGTAGCTGGAATTACAGGCATGCGCGACCACTCCCGGCTAATTTTTCTTGATTTATGGTAGAGATGAGTTCTCAACAAGTTGCCTGGGCTGGTCTTGAACCCGGGGGCTCAGGCAATCCTCTCACCTCAGCCTCCCAAAGTGCTGGGATTATTGGCATGAGCCACTGTGCCCAGCCTTAACAGGGCTTTTCAAAGATGTTCCAGGAAGCTCACAAACCATCTGCATCCATTCTATCCTTTTGTTTCTTCAACAAGTAGTGTTAGACAACTGGATGTCCACATGCAAAAAAAAAAAAAATTAACCTTGACCTATGCTCACACCGTGATGCAAAAATAAACTAAAGATGGATCCTACAGCAAAATGTAAATTCTGGCCGGGCTCGGTGGCTCAGCCTGTAACCCCAGCACTTTGGGAGGCCAAGGTGAGTGGATTGCCTGAGCTCGTAGGTTCGAGACCAGCCCAGGCAACTTGGCGAGACCTTGTCTCTACAATTAAAAGAAAAAAATTAGCTGGGCATGGTAGCACGCACCTGTAATTCTTGAGAGGCTGAGGTGGAAGGATCGCTGGAGCCTAGCAGGTCAAGGCTGGTAGTGTTCTGAGTGTGCCACTGCATTCCAGCCTGGGCAAAGGAGTGGGACTCCAACTCAAAAAAAAGAAAAAGTCAATTCTAAAACAATAAAACTTCTAGAAGAAAACACAGGAGAAAAATCTTCTTTTTTGGGGAGTTGGGGCTTTACTCTGTTGCCCAGGCTGGAGCGCAAAGGCACAAACACAGTTCACCGCTGCCTCGACCTGCTGGGCTCAAGCAATCCCCTCTTCTCAGCCTCCCAAGTAGCTGGCACTACAGGTGCATGCCACCACGCCCAGCTAATTTCTTTCTTTATTTTTTTATAGTGACGAGGTCTCATTAAGTTGTCCAGACTGATCTTAAACTCCTGGGCTCATGTAATCCTCCCACTTCGGCCTTCCAGAGTGCTGAAATTATAGGCGTGAGCGAACGCACCTGGTTCAAAAAATCCTTTTGTCCTTATATTAGGTAAAGAATTATTAGATAAGAAACCAAAAAGATACTCCATAAAAGATAAAACTGGTAAACTGACATGATCAAAATTAAAAACATCTGCTCTTCAAAAGATACTGTTGGCCAGGCTCGGTGGCTCAGCCTGTAATCCCAGCACTTTGGGAGGCCGAGGTGAGTGGACTGCCTGAGCCCGTGGGTTTGAGAC